CCGCCAGCTGCCTCCCCGCGATGGCATCTTGAGTTCGGGCGGTCCTATCAGGCCATCTCCCATCCCTCCCCTTCTTCCTTCTTCCCCACCCCCCACCTCGAGGTGGAGCTCCGCCAGGAATGGAGGTGGGACCAGGGAGCTGCTGCTTCTGCAGGTGAGCTCTGCAGGTGAGCTCTGCAGGAAGCGTGCCTGGAGCAGGGCCAGACTCTGTGCCTCGGGGTAGAGGCAGCCTCCCTTCTGGGAGAGAAGTAAACCCGACTCACCCTCCCAGGCTCAGCCTCTGTGCTCAGAGGGTGGGGAAACTGGTACCAGCCCAGGACATTAGTTAAAATGTGGGCTCAGAAGTTAGAAAAACCTGGGTTCTAATGCCTACCCTACAAGGCTTAAATGTCTCCAATGCCTTAGAGAATTCAGTCTCTTTGTGCCTCAGTTTTCTCATCTGGAAAATGGAGAAATAATACCAATCTCGAAGTCCTGATGTGGAGATCCAGCTGTAATTCTTGTCTAAAGCATATAGCCCAGAGCCCAGCCATCCATAACTGTTTTTTTCTTGCTGTCGCCATCATCCTACTGCCGGAATCTTGGGAAGGATATTATTCATGCGTTCATTCATTCCATGCAAATTATTATATTAAGCTTCTATATGGTGCCTGGCCTGTCGAAATAGGCACTGGAGACACAGGGACAGATAAGACCCATCCTTAAAGAAGTCCCAGGGTCCTTCAAGGAGTTCAGACGATAAAACATCACGTTCTTGAACAGATAACAGAGGAAGATGCAAAAAACTCCGAGAAGAGAAACTATCTCTTTGAGTCTTAGCAAATCTTACATAATTAGGTCAGAGCTTAAAAAAAAAAAAATAATGTCAGGTAACAAGTTTCCAGAGCAAGGTTTTCAAGCTGAGGGTCCCAGGTCACCTGCATGCAAATCATGAATGCTTATGAGGGAGTACCTCAGCCTTTGTGGTATAAGGATCTCACTGTGTGGTCCTAGGATGCTGGATGGTAAGGGCTGCAGATGATTCCTGTTCCTGCTGAAGTTGAAAAATCATTGGCCCACAGGAAAATGCCTCTGCCCCAGCATTCCCCCAGGGCTAGTCCTTCAGGGGGACCCAGCTTTGCCTTTCTAGTTTAGAGTTACATGAGGCAATTTTTGGTTCCCACCAGATCATGAGCTCTTAAAGCAGGGTATTCTATGCATGCAGAAACTATCACAAGACCCAGCAGTCAGTAGGTATTCTGAAATGATCGCAGGATGAAGAAAGTGCCCCTTGAGTGTCACTTTCATAAAGTTCATGTGGTCCCTATGTGGACCCTCAGACAGATTTTGTTATGTGGGGTCGTGTTGGGGGCATGTGCACGTGAATTTTAATTGTAATGTAATACTGGGGTTGGGGGGAAGGATGGGGCATTTGCTCTCCAGTTTACCTGTGTCCCAGTCTTCCCCTTTTCATACCCAATTAGTTTGCTTTCCTGGACTTGCTTTGGACAGAACTGCTTTGCATATCTTACAAAGTAGAGAGTGTTCATCGTTCTCATTCTTTCCTATGTGGTGTTTACCTCATCTCCTCTCTCTCCAGGGCCCTCTCAGAAAGACTGGTCCCTAAGGATGGGTGTCGCCTTACTACTGGTTGTATAGAGCTGTCAGTAGACCTTCTTGAAGGGAAGGATGAGAAAAACCCAGGGAACACAGGTTACCTGATGCAAGAGTGGTTTTTGAATTGTGATTCTAAGGCATGGGGATGCCAGAACAGGGGCTGGTGAGCTGAAGGTCAGCACTGGAAGCCCGAGGGGGCCAGTTAGTCTTGCTCTGGCTCTGACCCCTGCCTGACCCCGACCGTGGCAAGTCTCCTAGGCCCCTGAGGGGACAAAGACCTGGAAGGTTGTATGCGGATGGGCTTGTCCTTCTATTTCTGAGGGTTCAACTTCATAGACAACTAGAATATGATGAAGTGAGTGTGGGTCTTAGGGTACCACAGGGTCAGGCAAGTTATAAATTTTTCTCCCTGGAGGATCCACCATCCCCACCTTCCTTTCTCCTTTTTGCCTTCCTGCACTGGGAAGAGAACAAGAATGAGTGATCCTAAATGCTGGTGAAATGATCAAATAATGCCACATTCAGCTTCTGGGAAGTTGTGAGTCCTTGGAAAGAAGCTCTTGACTTAACATGCGTTTCATTTAAAAAAAAAAAAAAAAAAGATTTATATATTTTAGAGAGAGAGAGAACAGGAGTCCGGGGAGGTGCAGTGGCAGGGGGAGAGAGAATCCACAAGAGGACTCCCTGCTGAGCACATATTCCAATGCCTTGGGCAGGGCTCCATCCCAGGACCCCTAGATCAGGACCTGAGCCCAAACCAAGAGTCGACAGCTTAAACAACTGAGCCACCCAGGTGCCTCCAAATGTGTTTCATTTAAATTAACCGGAATGGTAATATTTGGCTGGACCTGGAAGTACTTACCATCCAGTCCAGCCCTCTTCTTGTGGGTAAACTGAGGCCCAGCTATGGTCACATAAGGCCCAATATTTAAAATGATCTCTAAACCCCAGCCCTCCTAAGGCCCACAGTTCTGGTGTGCATTCTGTGTTTCAAGAATCCCACCAGCCTTGCTCTGTTTCTTGAATCTGCATCACTGTCTCCACCGCAGAGCGAGATTGCCGTCCATTTCCTGCAGTAGATTTCAGACTGGTGACTCTGTGAGGACAGGGGTGGAGTCTGAGTCACATCTGTGTCCCAGTCCTCTGCCCGGAATCTGACACAAAGCAGGTGTTGAACACAGGAAGGACAACAGAGAACCAATTTGCTCCTCCAGACTAACCAATCTCCAGGGAGATTACTCAGGTCACTCTGGCTTCCAAATGGCTTTATCTATAAGGTGAAAGAGAAAGAGGGGAATGAAGATTTATTTCTGGATTTCAGTGCGCCAAGCGCTGTGCTGAATGCTTATCTCAGTGCATTGCTCGCAGCGGTCAGGAGAGGAGAAATGATTTCTCCATTGAACACATACGGGGACTACAGTACAATAAGTTATGAGGTGGCTAGTGGCCTTTTCTGCAAGAGGCAGAGATGCATGCTGAATCCGAGGGCAAAACCTGCTCCCCAAATGCCTCAGGTTGTGAGGTTCCCTGAGTGCTCAGTGCTTCCTTTCTCCTCTAGTTCACAACACCTTCACCAGAAACCCGGAAGGCAAACAGTAGCACAGATGCCATTTTACAGTCCAGGGAACCGAGGCTCGGTTTAGAGGGCAGCCCCTGGCCTTTGGCACCCCTGCTGAGTCCTCTACCCCGGTTAGAGGACAGAAGATGGACGGGAACCAAGCAAGGGGGCTGGCTGCGATGCGGAGAAGACGGATTGGCAGGGCCCGCGCGTGTGGGGAGCTCAGACCTATGCAGGATTTCCTCTTAGGCCAATGGCTGACCCCTCCACGCCTAACCACTACGTTCACGTCTGGGAAACCCGGCCCTCACAGGCGGGCGCTCAGGCCTAGCCCGCAGGCTGGTGAGAACTCCGAAACGAAACCCCAAAGCCGCTCCTGAGCAGAGGCGGGGTGGGCGCCAGAGGCGAGGTGGGCTCAGCTGGGCGCGCAGGGCTCCGCTCCGAACCCCGGAGGGCGGCGCTGCCCCGGTAATCCATTATTCAGGATGTTTACTAACGCGGGGAAAGGAGAGGGAAGGAGAGGGGATCAGAGCAGAGGGGAGGCGGGGGGCGGGGCACTAACCCCGGGGGCACTCCGTTCCCTGAAACTTCGTGAGGAAGACAAAGTGCAGAATCGTGAAGAGCCTGGAAAGTCAGACGTGGAGCCTCACACACAGTAGGCCATCAGTAAAAATTCGTGGAGTGGATAACCGAAGAGTGAGTGAATGGCTCTGCTCCCAACCAGCTCTGTGATCTTGGGCGAATCATTTAACTCCTCTGACCCTCGTTCTCCTCAACTTTAAAACAGAGTGACAGTATGAACTCCGTAGGGTGTGAGAATACCACGAGCTAAGTCTCTGAACAACCTAGCACTTATTAGGAGCTCAAAAACGGTAGCTATTGTTTTGGGGGAATGGGGCTCCTAAGCGTTGGCAGCCCAGCAGAAGTGTAGTGACTGACATCTAAGGCGGATGGGCAGCCCCGAACTGTTACTAAACAGTACTCAGGAAGCTTCCTTTGACTGATGGGTTGGGGAAAGGGGGGGGGGCAAATTATCTTTCTCTAGCGAAGGCAAGAACCGCGAGCCTGGGGAGGAAGCCTCAGGCCTCCAGGACCGGGCGGGCAGTTACTTCCCCCATCTCCACCCCGCTGGGCGATTGAGGTCACCTGGGGCTCATTCTGGCAGCCCCTCACCCTCTCTGGAGCCCGTCTGGGTGCTTGGAGGCGCCTCTTCGCTGAGCGGCGGGGCCGGACTCTCGTGGACCGCTCGGGCGTGGGGCCAGGAGCGCCCTGGAAATGGGCAGTTTGGCGGCAGCCTGGCCGACAAGGAGTGAGTGAGTGAGTGTGTGTGTGTGTGTGTGTGTGTGTATGGTAAGGTCAGCTTCCTGGCCAAGCTCAGCCCGGGGCTGCCCTTCGATGGGGCAGTCTGAGTTGGGACAGGACGGAGAGGTTTGAGACTTTGGGGGAAACAAGTCCTCGAAGAAGAAGAAAGAATCCGGAAGGTCGGCCGCGCTGGAGCCAGGCAGGGCGGGGCGGGTCTGGAGAGGCCAGGCTGGGCCGGGGTATAAATGCTGTTGTCGGGGGCGGCCGTGGCGGGCGCACAGAGGCGCGCCTAGAGCTGCTGCCTGGCCTCGCCTCCCGGGCCGCGCCTGCGAGTCCCAGGCGCGTGAGCACGCCTGCGCGCGCCCGGGCCTTTCCTGGCAGGCTGCTTGTAAGATGAGTGAAGAAGCAGGTGGGGGAGAGGGGAGGCAGCGAGCTAGAGGGCGAGGGGAGCGCGGGCGCTGAGCGGCGCTCACTTGGAGCGCGGCGAGCGAGCGAGAAGAGCCTGATCCATGTCCCTCGCTGCCTCCCTGCCAGGCGCGCGAAGATGATGGCCATGAACGCCAAGCAGCCTTTCGGCATGCACCCGGTGCTTCAAGAACCCAAATTCTCCAGCCTGCACTCCGGTTCCGAGGCCATGCGCCGAGTCTGTCTCCCAGCCCCGCAGGTACGTAGTGGAGCATAATTACCGCTCTAAGGCACATTTTTGACAGGCACTAGCTTCATGTTTTTTTCATGTCGCCCAGAACAATCGCCGCTGTCTGAACCTCTCTCCTTGTCTCCCCCGCGCTCTCTCCCGGCGCGCTCCCTCTCTCATTCATGTCTCTCTGATCCACACGTCTGTTCCAGCAGAGCCTCTGTCTCCGTATTAATTTTTATGACCTGGGCTTTGAGGAGAGGCATCTCGGTTGCTTGAAAATGTGTTTTAATCCTGAGTTGACAGTATTCCCCACTGACCGTGCTGTGCGCCTTCTCGCTTGCAGCTGCAGGGTAATATATTTGGAAGCTTTGATGAGAGCCTGCTGGCACGCGCCGAAGCTCTGGCGGCGGTGGATATCGTCTCCCACGGCAAGAACCATCCGTTCAAGCCCGACGCCACCTACCATACCATGAGCAGCGTGCCCTGCACGTCCACTTCGTCCACCGTGCCCATATCGCACCCGGCCGCGCTCACCTCGCACCCGCATCACGCCGTGCACCAGGGCCTCGAGGGCGACCTGCTAGAGCACATCTCTCCCACGCTGAGCGTGAGCGGTTTGGGCGCCCCAGAGCATTCGGTGATGCCGGCGCAGATCCACCCGCACCACCTGGGCGCCATGGGCCATCTGCACCAGGCCATGGGCATGAGTCACCCACATGCAGTGGCGCCTCACAGCGCCATGCCCGCATGCCTCAGCGACGTGGAGTCGGACCCCCGAGAGCTCGAGGCCTTCGCCGAGCGCTTCAAGCAGCGGCGCATCAAGCTGGGGGTGACTCAGGCGGACGTGGGCGCGGCTCTAGCCAACCTCAAGATCCCCGGAGTAGGCTCGCTCAGCCAGAGCACCATTTGCAGGTTCGAGTCTCTCACTCTCTCACACAACAACATGATCGCGCTCAAGCCCGTGCTCCAGGCCTGGCTGGAGGAAGCAGAGGCCGCCTATCGAGAGAAAAACAGCAAGCCAGAGCTCTTCAACGGCAGCGAGCGGAAGCGCAAACGCACGTCCATCGCGGCGCCGGAGAAGCGCTCGCTGGAGGCCTACTTCGCCATCCAGCCGCGGCCCTCATCTGAGAAGATAGCGGCCATCGCCGAGAAACTGGACCTTAAAAAGAACGTGGTGAGGGTCTGGTTTTGCAACCAGAGACAGAAACAGAAACGAATGAAGTACTCGGCTGTCCATTGACTGCGGTGGGGAGCAGCGTCCTGGTCTGGGAGAGCTGGGTGTACACCACCCCCCACGTGGGGGTGGGGGGGAATGGTTATGGGGGACCCCAAGACGTTTCCTGGCAGGTCAGGCTCTCTCCCCCGAAGCCACAGACTTTCCCCTTTATCCCACCTGGTTGCCTCCCGGCCTTCTCTTTCTCATCTTTCCTTTCTGTTCCCACCAGAAAATTATGGCGCTAAGAAAAAAATTTATGAAGGGCAGGCCTGGAGGGACTAGCTCTGTCCCTGGTGCTGAAAATAGCTTTCGCGCGCTGGGCTGCGCGACCTCAGCGTGGGAGCCCAAATGCGGGGGATAGTGAATTGGCCTGACAGCACGACTCTGGGGGTGAAGGCGCCACTTTGCTAAGCGCGATTAGACAAAAGCTGAAAGGATGCGCAGGCAGTGATAAATAATAATACAAAGTTTAACTGGGGCACAAACATGTACTGGAGATTTATTTAGAGTATATAAAATACATGTATGTTTCCAAAGGATAGCCTTATACTCCTTTCCCCTCTTAAATTTTGTCCATCTCATCCTTCGGTTTGTTGTAAGTTCTCTAAGGTAGCATGGATTAGGTTCAGGGAAAGTGTTCGTGGAGTTTCGAGATCCCAGCTGCTCTCTGCGGTTAAGTTGGGCTCCAGAAAAGATGCGCCCAATTCAGTGACTGAAAATGATGGGATCGCATACCTCGTTGCAAACAACAGCTGTCAACTGCTTGGGCCCATCCTCCCTGATCTGATGGTGTTTGAGTGGGTAATTACTGCCTGCTGGAGAGCGAGGGGGATTGGTAGTGCTCTGGACCGATTGAGGACTCTCTGACCTCAGCTCGCTTCTCCAGCCAGATTTTCAGCGCAGTGTAGAGGCGGCTTTTCAAAAGTGTTTGTAACTTCTCTGAATCATATGCAACTCCTTCCAACATGTCTAACCTCGTTGTGATTTTATTATTGTTGTTAGCATTGTTATTTCCTATTATTTATTTAACTCTGCTTCTTTCCATCCCCCTTATTTGGGTGTCTCCCGGTGGAGGTTCACTTATGGATTTGGGTGGAAAAAGGAGCCAGACTGCTGGCCTGGACCCTTCTCACCCATGTCCCCCTGGCCCCATCACATTTTATCTTTCGTTGCTTCATGTAATTTGCGTGTTGCTGTGTGACCTTTGGTTTTGTTCTCCAAATAGATACAAATAAAATATTAAGTTTTCTTCTCTCTTTACCCCTTGAATGAACTTCTAAAATAAATACTTTATTTTTCAACCCGAATCACAGTGCTTTTCTTTCTCGGAGGATAAGAAGTACTAGTCTGGGAAAGGATTTAGAATCAAGAGCCCATACAGGCTGTGTTCTCACTTCCAGTATGCCTGGCCATCTCTTCCTTCTTCCATGCAGTCTCACCTTCTCACTTTGATCTCCTTTAGGGAGATCTGGCAGCTCTTCTCCGGACCTCAGGGTTACAAGGCACTCCCCAGCACCCCACGCTTCCCTGCATGCCAATCTATCAGCCTCTGTTTGCTCATTTTGATTCAGACCCATTGCGAACTTTGAGGCCAGACTGATGGGAACAGGAGCGCCCAATACTTCCACTCCTTGGCTGAATAACCCTGAAGCCAGTTTCTTACCCTTTTCTAAAAGCCTCGATTACTTGTCTGTAGGATGAAGAGGCGAATATTTACCTCACAAGTTTATTGTCAAGATTAAGTAAAGTTATTTATTTAAGGCATCTGGTAGTGTTTCGTGTTTGAGACAAACCATTTCAAAAGATTCAAATGTGTGAATAGGAAGTGTGGATAGATGCAAAGAGGGAGGAAAGTGTTCTTTGTTGGGACAGAGTTCGCTGGGGCCCCTTTGGGATCATTTTAGAAACTTATTTAAAACTGTCACACAAGAACTTACCCCAAGGTCTGTCTCCTCTTCTCTGTGGGAATCTAAATGATAGGTCTGCTGCAAAGATCCTAGCATGGTGCCTTGAGCACAGTAGGTGCTCAAGAGATGGCAGTTTCCTTCTTTCTCACTCCCTTCAAAAGGAGTAAGAAACCTTTTTATTTGTGAGCCGCAGAAACACCTTCACGACTTAAAAATTAATGTTCCAAGTCTAGGAGTGGGCAGCACATTTTCCCTCTGTGTCTTCAAAGAGAAGTGGGTCATCACCTCGGGCCTGAAATTCGGAGCAGAGTCGGTCTCCCCTCGGCTCGGTGCATCCTCTTTGCTGCACAAGCAAACCTGGGGATCGCCCCCAGCCCCTGGGCCTCAGCCCCTCTCCCCCGCCTAGCGCAACAGACCCAGCGATGCCTCCACCTCCTTCTCCATCGGGTGTCCTTTAATAATAAATGCCCTTATGCCATTACATTATATTGTGGGTTTTGAAAATTTAAAATACAGCTGATGCAATATTAATTGCCTATAGTGGTATAAAACACAGGGCCGGAGCCCAGCCGGGCTGCAGAGGAGGCGGCCGTGAGCGTCCCGCGCCGAAGTGAAGCGCTCCAGACAGACGCGCCTTTGCGGGCTGCAAGGTTTCCTGCAGGTAAGAGCCTTCAGCTTTTCTGGCCCGGGAAAGAATCCGATATCCGCCTCCATCTCCTTTCTGAAAAGTTCCCTGCTGTGTTATATATATAAATATAAATAAATGAATAAATAAATAAATATACATTTAAATTAATAGCCTCAGAAGTTTGGAGGACTTTTTTTTTTTTTTTTTTTTTTTTTAAAGGCGAGGGAGAGATGAGCCGCCTGAAAGTTAAGATCTGCTCCATAACTGGACTGGTTGGGTTATGAGTTGACCCGCGCCTCTGCGACTGGTCGGCTTCAGATGCCTGGGCTGCCCTAGCGCACTGGTATTTTGACCAGCTTCTACCTGCGGGGCGGGAGCTGCTGCTCCGTCCACGACGCGCCCCACCCTCTCCCACCCACTGAGTGCGACGGCTCGGCGCCGCTGCCTCTCTCCTTGGGCTCTCTCAGGAAGCCTCGGGAGCTGCGGTTTCTCCGGAATTGTGCAGTCGCCTCTGCGAGGCGGAGGCACAGACCTCTCAAGAGCGGAGGGTGGGTAGGTTCCAACCGGTTTGGGGTTCACATAGGCCTCTTTTGCATCCTGGTGGGCCATTTCCTAACCGTGTGACCTTGGGCAAGTCACATCACTTCTGTAAGCTTCTCTTGATGACTGCAAAACCTCACAAGAATAATTTTGAAGAGCAACTGGAAAACACTTCGGAGCAGATTTTCCGTTCCAAAATACCACCAACTTGAAACATTCACTGTCCTGGCCCAGCTGGGAGTTTCTTTAAAAGTCCAGAAGAGAAAGGGGGCTGGGAAGGGGCAGTGTTCAGGGCTGTTTGTATGGAAAGCTGCACTGGGCCTTTCAAGATGGGATTTTGAGAATACTCTGTGGAGTAGGGAGAGGATTCTAGGCACTTGGCTGTCTGGAATTAGGGTCTGACCCGGAATGAGCATGACCCATGCAGAGCCCTGCATGGCTGAAGTCATGGGTTCCTCTTGAATCCTGGGCTCCTGGATTCCTGTGCAGATCTCTGGCCAGGAGTTTACTGTCTCTCTCTCTGTGCTTAAGATAGTATCAGTTTTGTTCACCGTTTTATACCCAGTGTCCAACTCAGGGTCTGGACTAGAGTGGCAGACAATGGGTATCTGTGAAATGAATGAATGAATGAATGAATGAATGAGGTTTTTGTTTTGTAAAATGAAAGGATCCTTTCCAGCCCTGTCCTTCCTAGATTCTGGGCACCATAGCAAAGAAGAGACATCATGGGAATGGGGGCAGGGTCAAGGTGATGATCTGAAGCCCCAGCTTCCATTCAGAGGCAGCCAGTTTCCTTCCTGTTTAAATTAGAAGAAACCTTGCCTCCCTCTGTGGTTATCATGGGTACAGAGGGGATGCTCTGTGATATGGGCCCTCAGAACCTAGATGAGGAATCCGGGGAGAGGATCAGGGGGTGACCTCTGCCCTGCTGCATGTTCCTGAAACTCTCGGCCTTTGAGCCTAGGTTATTTTACTTTCTTACCGAGAAGGAAACAACTCTGGCTCCAGAGTAGACAGTCCTGGGTGGAAAACCTACTCCATCTTTTAGATGAAGTGCCTTTAACTCTCTGAGCCTCGGTGGTCTTATTTGTAAAGTAGGAAAAAAGACAATCTTTCAGGATTGCTGTGATGAGCATCACACAGGCTAGGGCCTGACCCATAGTAGGCATTAATGGATACTTAATCTTTTAAAAACATTGTTATGCTCAGAGAAGTGAGAGTTAGTGTCACAGGGGCAAAATCAGGGCTTGGCCTCCGCTAGGATCAACATTTTCCCCTCTGAAGCCACAGGGTTCATCTATAAAATGAGAGCAGCGGCACTGACTACCAGCTCTCCATGCGGTTGTCAGCGGTAAATCAGAAAGTGTACAAGTAATCTCTTTGCACACCGAGTGGCTCAGGAACCGAAGCGATCATGTAATTCGCTCTCCTGGAGTCCACGGTGTGAATAAGTTCCCGCTGAGAAGCTGGACCCCAATGGCGGCTCCTCGAACTCAAGCCTTCCTTCTTTGCGGAATCCTGGCAAGCAGCAACGTCTTGATTGTTGGAAGACTCAGCGCAGCTCTCCCTCCCAAGGAGTGGGCTCCAGTGAGCAGAAGAAGCGGGGATGGGGTCTCTGATTCGGTCTCCCGGGTTCTGCTCCGCCTTTGGACTTGGTGTCCCCACCAAAGGTGGTGTCCCGACCACTAGGGTGACACTCGCTGACGAAAGCCCCTCTTCAACTGAAGGAGAGACTGAGGCCCGGAGAGGGGCGGAGGGACTTAGTGGCTCCTTCTACCCTAGATTCCTCTCTTCTCCAGTCCTGCTATCTTACTACCCTGTTGTATTTCTTTGTTAGTCCTAATCATTCCCTGACCGCACTCTGTTTATTTATTTAGCAGTAAACGCGCTCAGGGCCAGTACCCGGTCCGCACAGTACCTTTCCCCCACCCCCCTCCAGGAACCCAGCG